TATTTTGGTGGTGCCGATAATTATGATAGTTATGTATTTTTCCTTCAAAGAATATCCTACGTGGACTCCTACATATATATGTACATGTACAATTAACCTGTTGACCTACCCAATCAATTTTCTACTACACTATATAAACAATAAAAATAATAAATATTTTGTGAATGTTTAGTGTTGCATTTACCAAATATTCAGATTTTGATTTTGATTTATTTATTGCTATTGCATTTTATTTAACATTGAGCGTGTGAATAAAAATACCAATTATCATAATGTGCAATAACTTTATCTTGCATATAAATAAAATTATTTATAATCAATATATAAGAATTGACACTTTATACTTAAAGGTTGTAGTATTTATTATTTCAATATTCGGGTTTGCGATTTATCGTTATTGTAAAAATAGTTTAATGATAACACTAGTACACTAGGAGTGTATTGAATTTATCATGTGTCGAGCTTAATCCTAAAACGAGACTGTACAAAGAATTAAATTTAACTTGATCGTGGGGTGTTCAACGAACATCTTGGACAAAGTTGTAAATATCTATTCATGAGTTTAATAGTTCTTTGCTCTATCAATGAGTGAGATCGATTTGATTGATCAATATGTCGGTGAGTTGGGAATTTAAAACGAGTGAAGTAGAGAACTCAAATTCACGTCGAGAACTGTCGCCTGGAAAAAGGAATTAATGACTATTTAAGTTTTTATTTTTTATTGAACAATTATATTTAGCCATGGTTATATTTCAACATCTATAATTTGTTCTCAAAACCATTGGAGAAAATGTTGCTTAATTCAATAAGAAAAATTGAAAAGGCAAAAAAGTCGTTTATGCCTGTAACTAATTATTGAATCGCGAATAGGATAAATTATATATATGGTATGTCAGAAGAAAATATTGCACATATATTTCTGTTTCTGTAATGTTATATATTTCAAGAGTACAATTCTTTGCTTTTAGTGAAAAATAAAAAATAAAAAATGAAAGAGCGAATACTAATAATTGAATTTTGTAATCTAAGATTGATTAAACATGATTTAATTATTGGAACTTGGAAGATATACGTACGAACAGGTCTTGTGGTAGCTTTTTAAAATTTTGAACTCAATTGTAAAGACTTTGAAAGTGATTAAATTTTTTGGACAATTAAATGATATATGACCGAATCAGACTTGACATAGATTAAACTACTTTGCCTACGTACAATACCCTAGGGACTGTATATAGTGAGGAGGGAGAGAGAGAGAGAGAGAGAGAGAGAGAGAGAGAGAGAGAGACCAAATTAATTTTTTGTTGTCTGATGTCTCAATATTTTCTTGGTCCGCCTAGTGTAGAAATAGGTTTTTGATTTAATTGAAAAGATGTCTACACCTCGATATAGTATTTAATTTTGAGAATACTATAAAAGATTCAAAGGTTGGGAATGTCATGATTTTGAATTAAAATTTGAAATTTCTTGAATTAAAAAGTCGAAAGTTCGTGAATTCGAATTCAATCAAGAAACTGATAATCAGATTTTAAGTATACTTTAAATCTCTCTCTCTTTTTATTATAATATAAACGTGATTATTATTAGCATTTGAACTCACAAAAATTTCAAACCTGCTAGCAGTGCCAGGATGAAGCTAATTCCATAACCTATCTCAAAGCTAAGCCAATTAAAGAATTTTCTCTTTGTTCCTTTCTGAAGGGTAGTTTCTGATTGACCACTGCAAGAGTGGGGCAAAAATTCACCACATAAACCTGGATTTCCTTCAAAGCTTGAATTGGGAAATGTCTCAAACTGGCCTCCAACGGGTATATGACCCTCAAGATCGTTGTAGGCAACATTGAAAGAAGACAGAAAATGAAGATTCTTGAATGATGCAGGAATTTGACCAGAAAGATGGTTGCCAGAGAGGTCCAGCTTTTCCAAGTTGGTGAGATTAGATATTATGTCAGGAATGCTGCCAGAGAAATTGTTGTTGCTGAGATCCAGGAAAAAGATAAATTTCAACTGCCCAATCTCAGTTGGGATGGTACCACTGATACTGTTACTCCCGAGGTTTATCGCTGGTCGCAGGTAAGAGAGCTTAGTGTATTGCAGACTGGAGGCGTAATTATACTCACTAAAGATAGGAAACTCTAAATAACTTTGGTCTACTTGATCTGTACTCAGTTTCGTGGTGAGTCTTCTCAGTCCTGCGAGTTCCACCGGGAAGTATCCTGAGAGAAGATTGTGGGACAAATGTAATACGAAAAGGTTTGGAAGATCGCCAAACCAAGCCGGAATGGAGCCTGTGATGTTGTTAAGCGATAGGTTTAGAACCTCCAGCTTTCTTAATTTAGATAACCACATTGAAATTTGACCAGTGAGTCTACAGCCACCTAGAGCCAGGAATTGGAGATTTTGGAACCCATCAGATCCTATCAAACTATCATCGTCAGGCAATGACTCATCGAAAAAATTTTGTGAGAGTAATAATATTCTGAGGTTCTTGCACCCTTGTAAGATTTGTATTGCACTTGTGATATTGTTTAGGCAGTTCCCAGAAAGGGATAAGAAAGACAGAGATGGTAACCCCATAATGCCAGGCGAAATCTCACCATTTAGTTTATTGTGGGCCAGGCGAATTGCAGTCAGTTTGTTGCATGAATAAAGGCTTGCTGGCAATCCACCATTGAATGAAGTATTCCCCAGGTCAACTGACCTAAGCTGAATGAATTTCGAGAAATCGAATGCAGAAAGTTCACCTTCAAGGAAGTTGAAACTTAAATCCAGCATCACAAGTCTTGTACAGTTTGCAAGAGATGGGGGCAGAGTGCCATTTAGTAGATTTTTACGAAGGAACAATTTTTCCAGGTTGGAAAGCCGCCCAATATCTTGAGGAATGGTTCCTGTCAATTTATTATCATAGAGTGAAAGGGTTCTAAGGTTAATGAGGTTAACAAGGATTCCATTGATCGGACCAGAGAGCCTATTGGCAGACAAGTACAGTTCTTGCAGTGATGAAACTTTGTAGATATCGCTGGGAACATCTCCAGATAGATTATTGACATCTGCTCGTAGAGACTGCAAATCGGAACACTGGCCAAAACCTTCGGAAATCGGACCAAGAAAGAGATTTCGTGAGAAATCAAGATGCTGGATTGAGGAGGAAAATTCACAGATAGACGAAGGAATTGGCCCGGAGAAGCTGTTGTTGCTGACATTAAAGCTTTTCAAATTTACCGCCTGCTGGAAAAATGCATATTGGATTGTTCCCTGGAAGTGGTTACTGGATAAATTCACTGTTTTGACTGTACTCATCAGCTTATCAAAATCCGACAACTTTCCAGTTAGACGATTTTCGCTCAAATCAACGACAACGAGGCGTTTGAAGGCCATAAAAAATCCGTCTGGAATAGGACCTGATAGCCTATTTTGCGAGAGATTGAATTGAGAGAGATGGCTGAGGTTTGCAAGAGAAGGAGATATGCTTCCAGCAAGTCCTCTTGATGGCAGCAACAGATGGATTACCCGATTAATATTATCACAACTGACACCTTCCCACATGCAACAATCTATGGAGGAATACCACTTCAAAGGATTGGAACTGTAGACACCAAAGGAGAAGGCTAGAAGGGAGTCACGGTCAACTTTTCTGCATGTAGCTTGGCAGGGAATCATAAAGCTAAAAAGTTGTGTAAATAGAATTAAAAACAGTAAATTATGAAAAAGGGCACGGAAAGAGAAGACATTGGAATTGTCAAGTTGTTTTGTCATTGTGATAATTTGAGAGAGATTGGAGTGGATAAACTTTTAATGACAACGTAAATTCAGGAGGTATTTGCTTTATATACACAAATATGCGTGTTGTGTGTGTTGATTGGTACGACGATTTTGGTGTGTAAATTAAGTTAATTTGTGGGACGATGTTTGTTGAATTCTGCTTCTTAACTTTATCAATAGCTATAATAATAAGATTTATATTTTTTTTGTTATAATTTTTTCTACGACTTTTTATCAATAGCATTTTAAAATTTTTGGTGGGAATTAAAATTAGATTTTTTGGTTGATTGTGAAGAAGTTTTTGAAATATGTGATTGGCAAGTTGTGTGACTCATGATAAATGTGACTAATATTAATTGTTCAAGTTTGAGTTATATTAAAATTAGATTTTAATCCAAACCAAATTGGCAAACAGGGTTAAGTTTGCAGGAAATTTCCAGATTTTGAGTAGTAATGAAATAAAATTCAATTCACAGTCTATCATTAATGTAATACTTTTTTCATTATAAAAAGTCAAGATGTGTATCCGTGTGGGCCACTGCTGTTACTACTATTACTAATATTAATATTTGTGGATGCATAATTGAGAAATGAGAAAAATAAAATATTTTAATTGTCCAGTTTCGGTAAAGCCAAATTTAAAAGTGGCCACCGACTAAGTTTCTAGAGAATAAAATTTGATCGAATGATTTTCATTGAAAGTTGTGAAAAGCAAAATCTATAGTTTTATGGGCAACACTGCACTAAATAATGAGTTATGATAAACTAATAATACAAAAAAGAGAGAAAAACAAAGGAGTCTAGGGTTACTACATTAATTGAACTAATGAAAATACAAGAAAAGGGAAACTTTAAATAATCTTACAAGTAGATAAATATAATGACTAATCTACCCTTAATATAAAATTAATATATTTAACATCTCCCTTCGAACTCATGATGCTGCTGCTGCTGCAAGAAGCATCAAGAATTTGCCAAACAGAAAATGAAATCGCGAACTGGAATGTGACGTCGTAAATAACTCAACAATCTGCATAGTAGAAGAAACAAAAGGTAACGTTATAGTGCCAAGACGATAATGATGTCGAGTGACATGACAATCAATCTCAATATGCTTCGTCCTCTCATGAAATACTGAATTGCGTATAATTTGAATAGCACTCTTATTATCACAGTACAAAGGAGTAGATCGACTAAGAAATATACCCATATCTGCAAGCAACCAATGTAATCAAACTATCTCATAAGTAGTGGAGCCATGGCATGATGCTCTGTTTCCGTGGAAGATCTAGAAACAGTAACTTGTTTCTTGCACTTCTAAGAAATAAGAGAATCACCAAGAAAGATACAAAAGCCAGTGGTAGATTGACGATATGTAGGATCACTAAACCAATCAACATCACAATATGCTTGTAATTCTAATGAAGAAGTTGAGGAAAGTAAAAGACTCTAAAACTGAGTGTCCTAACGATACCTCAAGATATGAAGAATAGCAGCCCAATGAACTGTAGTAGGCGAGGTAACAAAATGACTAACTACATGAACAACGTGTGCAATATCTGGACGAGTGATGGTAAGATAAATCAAGCTACCAACAATAGTACGATATAAACTAGGATCTGATAATGAAGAACCATCAGAAGACGAATATCTAGCATTAAACTCAAGAGGTGTATCAATAGTCTTGTTATCAGTATGACAAGCACGCTCAAATATATCAGCTATGTACTTAGACTGAGAAAGAAGATAACCTTTCGGGGATGATGCAACTTCAATACCCAAAAAGTAATGAAGTGAGCCTAAATCTTTCATTGCAAAGCAACGAGCTAACTCTGACTTTAGAACCGTAATGCCATCAGTATCATCACCAGTAATAATCATGTCATTAACATATAAAGAGAGAAAATGCGACAACAGCTGTATATTTGTAAAATAAAGCTAAATCATGATGACTAGAACAAAAACCAAGTGAAGTAATCATAAGAGAAAACTTTTCAAACCAAGCTCGGGAGCCTATTTGAGACCGTTGAGAGCTTTTCGAAGTTTGCAAATTTCACCAAGTTGATGAGAAACACCAAGAGGAGAAACCATGTAGACTTCTTCATGTAGTTATCCATTCAAGAAGGCATTTTTAACATCCATCTAAGATATATTCCATCAACAAACAGAAGCAACTGCAATAAAGGAGCAAACAGTAGTCATTTTTGCAACAGGTGCAAAAGTCTCTTCATAATCCATACAATACTACTGAGAATATCCTTTGCAACTAATCGAGCTTTATATCTTTCAACTGATCCATTAGACTTAGTTTTGATTTTATATACCCATCGAGAACTAATTGCTCATTTTCCTAGTAGTAGAGATACCAAGTCCCATGTATGTGTCTGATGTAGAATCGTAAGTTCCTCAGCTATAGCCTCTTACCAAATTGGATCACAAACTGCCTCTCTATAGGACATAAGCTCAGAAAGCTGATGAACAGAAGCTAAAAATGAAATGAAAGAACTATAGTAACGAGTGTAAGCAAAATATGATAATTTAGTAAACTTATAAGTACGCACAAGGTAACGAGGAGGAGGAGACCCTCTCTCAGGAGGTGGTTGGGTAGTCATAGCAGGAGAAGGAACAACTAATGTATCAGGGGTCAAAGTACCAGTATCTGCAGAACTATCAATGGGAATCCTGCAAGAATCAAGATCTGAAGTAAGAGTGGATGTGTGGGGAACTAGTTGTGGGACAATCTCAGTATCACCAATGAATGGATCAATGTGAATAAGATCAGACTTAGTCATGTTATGAGAACTAGCGGGAATAGAAAAGAAAGGTATATGTTCAAGGAATATAACATGACGAGAGAAATATGATTTTTTGATCCAACGATATCCCTTTTGTTTTGTGCCATAACCCAAAAAGACACAAATAGCATATTTAGGGGATAATTTACTACGCTCAACATGAGGTCAAATAACAAAACATGTAGAACCAAAGACACATAAATAAGAATAATTGGGAGCATATCCATACAACTTCTCAAAAGGAGACAAACCTAAATTATGTGAGGTTTGGATTCTATTAATCAAATGAGTAGCAGTAAGCATTGCTTCTCCACAAAATTTACTAGGAGTGGATGCAGAGAGTAAAAGAGAACAAGTTGTCTCAACAAGATGTCCATGTTTTCTTTCAACAATACCATTTTGTTCGGGAGTGTCTGTACAAGCAGTTTAGTGAATAGTGCCATCAGAAAGAAGTAAATTAGAAAAGGCATTAGAGGTATACTCTCCACCCAAATCACATTTAAAACATTTGATAATAGCAGAATGCTAAGTTTTGACAAGTGCTCTAAATGTACTGAAAGTACTAAAGAAGTCAGAGCAACGTTTCATAAGAAAGACCTAACAATAACGAGTGTAATCATCAATAAAAGAAACATAATATCTTGAACCCCCTTTAGTGGTAACGGGAGAATGTCCCCATATATCAGAGTAAACGAGATCAAAATGAACAGTAGAAATAGAGGAACTTTTATTAAAAGGTAATGCAAAAAAATTTACTAATTTACATCCACTACAATAAAAAAATATCATCTATTTTCTAATTATCTAATGCTCCAGTAGAAACTAAGAATTTTAAACGAGATGTTGAAACTTGACCAAGACGAGAATGCCATAAATAGAAGGTAGAAGATAAACGATTCAAATGGAAAGATGACAAATCAACACTAAAAGTTGCAATTTCTAGTACTTTAAGCATATGCAAAACATAGAGTCCCCCTGCCTATAACCAGTCCCAATCACCTTCTAAGATTGTGGGTCTTGCACCTAATAGGTAGTAGAAGAAAAAGATACTAAATATCTAGATTCACATAACTGGCTAACAGAAACAAGATTTAAAGTAAGACTAGAAATGTGATAGACGTCATTAATTGATAAACAATGTGTATCAATAGAACCAATGCCTGCTATAGACATAGGAATACCATCAGCAATCATAATTAACAAAGGAGACTTGGGAGATAATGAAACAAATGAGTCTACATTAGATGACATATGATGGGAAGTCTCCCGAATTTAAGACCCACGAAGAGGATGATATACCTGAAAAACTAGAAGATGACAAACCTATATGAGAGGCAACATTACATGTGGCAGTGTTGCTAGAAAGTTCTAAAACTGCTCAAACATGGATGGTCCTACAAAGATTGATGGGACGTGATTAATTTCACAATTTTTTTCTCGGCCTTTGCGAGTGTGAATTTCTATTTCTTCAAGGCTGCCACTCTTCCCTTTTTTGTGTAGTAGTGTATGCATTTTTGTCTTCCCAATTGTTTTATTTTTAGCACTCGTCCAACGCCTCGTTTTCTATGTATATGACTTTTCCCAAGGCAGACTTTTTCAATGAATTCCAGCCGATAGCTTCTTATAGATATACATAACCTTTTCTTGCCCCAATTTCTGACTTTTTTTTTTTCAATCTTCCAACTGCCCTTCTTTGCTCATGTGCTGTGTGTGTGTATAAAATAAATTTAGATGCTACCCCATTTAACTCCCAATAGGAAATCCATTTTCATCGTGTATCTAAAATCAATTTCCAGTTACCTGTGTGTATAAATATGTATTAATCCCCAAGCAGCTGCCAATAATCGTTCCGTGAATTGCCTACCAAATTGACTCTCAATCAAACTTCTAAAGTCAACGCATCCGCATCTGCTATCTTCAACAAGGTCAGTAATTTTAAGATGACAGCTCTGATACCATGATAAACTAATAATACAAAAAGATAGAGACTACAACAAAGGAGCCTAGGGTTACTACATTAATTGAACTAATGAAAATACAAGAAAGTGGAAACTTTAAATAGTCTTGCAAATAGATAAATAAAATGAGTAATCTACCCTTAATATAAATTTAATATATTTAACAAGTCGAGATATTAAATTAATAATTGAAATCAAAATTTGGTTGTGCAACTTAAAATCAAGAACTTGATTAAAATCATCAATTTCTCAGTTTTAAAATTCAAAACTAGACCAATTTTAAGTAGAATTGAACTGAACAAGCTACTTTGATTCGCTTTTAAGTCAGATCCATGTGGTTTTAGATAAAAATACAAAATCCTAGTCAAATTTAAGATGAGCAAGAGACAATTCTCATCTTCGTCACACAAACTATTTGGTTACTCCCTCTATTTTCAAAAAGCAAATGACTTGTAGGTGCCAAAAATCATCGAATTACATCCAGATGAAAGGGTAATTATAAGGGACTTCAGAAATTACAATAGCGTAGTTGCTTGTTTTTTGAAACTAGCTAAGATCAATTATATAGTGACGTTTCTCCTAAAGTAGATGTCTAAGCTTTTGGTGTCATCATGTATGAATTAATCTCAGCCAAGGAGGCCATAGTTAAGGCAAACAATTCCCTTGCTAATTGAAAGGCCTTGGTAAGTTGTACAATTTCATGTTTTGAATACAAAAAAAGTGTTTCAAGATTCCTATTTGTTCGGTTATTTAGATACCAATGTTATAATTGTGTCCTGTTTTCTTTTCATGGACTAATCCTTGGTGATTATAATTTGAAGAAGTTCTTAATCAACCTGATCCAAGTGATGATCTACACAAACTCATTGACCCTCTATCCTCAACTACGACCAAGCACAAAATCTATCATAGTTGCATTGCTTACTCTTTCATCTACAATAGAAGACTGGGATGTCGCATTTTTCTTTGGTGAGGCGCCACCCGAGAAAACATAAACATGTTGAGGTGCCACCCAAGAAAACAACGGGGCGCCCTCCTATGGCACTAAGGCACCGCCTCCTATTAGCTAGGGCACTTTTTTTAATCCGTTTAAAGGCCATAAAAACTCTAAATTTTACCTTGATTTGCTAATAGATAATACATTTTTTCAGATACGGACTAATTTCTTTATTTATGTTTTTTCCACCAAAATGTATCTTGGAGATCTCGATACATTTTCGTACTTCCTGGATGTGTAGCATACAAATTGGAGTGAGCCTCTTCCAATATTTCATTTGTTATTCTTCCATCCTTAGGTACATACAATCTTCCTTCAAAAGTCAGTGCTTTATTCGCAGATACTTCAAATTCTATACGTTTGTTTGTATCAACCTCAACCTTAATCTTCCATAAAAATGGATCCTTATCCTGTGCTTCCTAGATTCAATCTCGGAGAGTCGATTGAATCATATTTACACTGTAGTTTGAGTCGACTGCCTAATGACTTCCAACCTCATTTTTTTAAAGTCATTTATCAAGTGTTCCTACACCAAAGGTAAAACTGCTAACAGTGATCCTATTTTCCTACTTTGGGCATCTATAATTATGTTAGCCTTACCCTGATGGTAAAGGATTGCACAATCATAATCTTTCACTAACTCCAACCATCTCCTATCTCATATTTAGCTCCTTTTGTCTGAAGAAGTATTTAACACTCTTGCAGTCTGTATAGATTTCACACATCCCATTATAGAGGTAATGACACCATATCTTTAAGGCGTAAACTACCACTACAAGCTACAAGTCGTGCGCCAGATAGTTCTGTTCATACTACCTCAACTATCTCGAGGCATAAGTAACAAATTTTCCTTTTTAAAATCATAACGTAGCCTAAACCCTACTTGGAGGTGTCAATATAAATTACAAATCCATTCGAACCTTCAGGTATCGTCAATACAGAAGTCGAGACTAATCTCTTCTTGAGTTCCTGGAAACATTTTTCCCACTTTTCCGTCCACTATACTTCACTAGTCAACTAAGTCATCGGACTAGCTACTTTTGGAAAACCTCAATAAATCTTCTACAATAACCGGCCAACCCTAAGAAACTGCTAAGTTTACCCATACTAGTCGCTGTAGGCCAATTTGTTACTACTCCCACTTTAACTGGGTCTACCTCAATACCCTAAGCAATAACGACATGACCAAGAAAACCCATTAGATCAACGAATATTTGCGATTCTTGAATTTGCCAGGTAATTTATCTTTCCTCAAAGTTTTGAAACTACTCGGAGTTGTTTCTCATACTACTTTTTATCTTTGGAGTAAACAAGTATGTCTTTAATAAATACTATGACCAACTGGTCTAATTACTAATGGAACACTA